CCCCCCCCCCCCCCCCCACCCTCATTTTTTTTGGTAGGCTCAGTTCGTTCACCATGCTGCACAATCTATTTGCTCCACTGCCTGCTTGGCATCAGCCTGTCCATCTGTTTGTCTGTTTGCCTCCTGGCTCTTGCCTTCTTCTCCCCACTGCCTCCACTTAAGCGGGGCTTTCTCGGCTGCTGCGATTCACATGTCATCCCGGCCTGCTGCACAAGACAGACCGCTGCGCCCGTGCAGCGTGCACCTCAACTAAGGTATAGCCTGGCGCCCATATAAATAGGCTCGACAACTCTGACAGGCCAGCGGTGAACATTATTATTCACACACGTCCACGCCGAGACGTAGACCCAACTGCGAGTGGCCGAACGGAAGAAACATAYTTCATGTCTTGAGAGGTTTACAGGGCTGATCAATACTGTGACAAGCTTGGTATACTATTTCCAACAGAGAACAAGACATGTAAGAAGGTAACACAAATGAAAAAAAGGGTTTCTCTCACAGAGGGAAAGCTGCTGCGCTGCAAAGCTGTGATTTGTTGCTGTTAGCAGCACTTTTATTCGAAGCAAACCAAGTAAAGTACACAGTTCCCTCAGCCACTTTGTAGCTGTCACAGCTGCTCTGGCCTCCTCGCTCGCCTGGTGTGGTTTSACATTGTGCTGAAGAGAGCGCAGGCACTCTCAGCATCAGAGGATGACCCCCGGCATGGAAGTAGGAGCTGGCTGGGACAAATGGGTGTGTTAGAAATCTCAGCACACTGCTGGGATTTTCATATGTTCACATGGCTGGGTGACAAATACAGTGAAGTCACCCCCCTCCCAGCCCACACACACACACACACACACACACACACAGCAGACATACTACTGTCTGATCAGCGTCCTCCACTAACCCTGCCACTTCTTAGCTAGTTGGACGCTCAGGTAGCCTGCTGGGAGTAAGACAGAGCCGTGTGTGAGTCATGCCTACATGCTTTCAGATACGAGACTTTGATATTCAGAGCGAGGGCTCCTTGTCTTGGATTTAAAACCAGTCAGAAGCCAGGATCTATGGTGGTGTGAGCGTGTGGGTGTTCACCTGCCTCAGATACACAGACGTGTGTGAAGCGAGCGAGGCAGCAGCTTTCAAGAGCGAGCGAAGTCAAAGAAAAAGGAAAAGAGAGGACACTGAAACAATTCAGCGCCTGTCAATGAGAAACTACAAAAGGTTCAGCGACTGTGAGGGCAGAGATTCAAATTTTGCCAAGTGGAAAGTTTTTTACAGAATGAACCTTCTGCTTTCTGAACATTGACTGTACAGGTTCTGTCTGAAACCGTTTCACAGAAAATGACAAGTTTAACTTGAATTTATAAAGGCAGTGCAATTTTGTGTTGTGAAACGCACCATTTCTTAATCCACAATTTAATGATCAAGAAGGCGTTTCGGCACCACTGTACTCTGCTGAAAAAGGAACAAACTGAAACTCTGCCTTGACTTTGTCAGGAAACTTTAAAGGAGACATATTATACTTTTAAATCCTTCTTTTTCACATTTAATCCATTCAGTTGGGGTCTATATAAAGAGGAACTTCAATGCTTTGGTCTGAATTCCTCCTTATTGTAACTCCACAAGCCCCTCTTTCACTCCTTTTCTGAGGTGTGTCTCCGGTCAACTCGTTTTGAGGCTGTCTCTTGTGAAACATCATTTGGATGTGAGCACTTTTTGGTAAGTCCAAAAACAATATTTATGCAGACCTGGGAGACTAAATTCAAATTTTCTGCACTGCTAGACTCCAAGGACACAGCAAACAGCTAAAAAGTGGATTCTGCATGATAGGAAAAATGCACTTTTTCCTTAATTAAAAAACCTACCCATTATGTTTTGACTCATTCATGCATGTTTGACTCCTTATATCTCCTGAGGTTGCCATGTGGAGCTAGTACAAAGCTCTGCCTATTTACACAAAGCCCCTCCCTGGAGCTCAGTCTCCAGCCTCGAGCACCCCTCCTCTGAAGCATTGTTTGAAAATATGCTGAAGTGGGAGTGTCAGAAACAGTAGAAGGTTCTTAAAAAGACAGAGGCCAATTTCAAGGATTTTAGCAGCAAAGTCCAATTTATTTTTGATATATTCTTTATTTTCATAACTGAAGGAAACATTGTTACTTGATTGTGGTATAGAATTGAACTATGTGCCTGGAAAATACACAATGTCCCCCACCCCTGCCTTAGTGTTTACAAGTTATAACTTCTGCAGCATATGGAAATGTTCATTCTGTGCTAAACTAATACCTTCACTGATACCATCATATTTTAAAAACAGCAATAAATCATTTCATAAAGTGATATTTAGGAATTTCCATAATTTACTGGCTGTAAAATATCCTGGAACGCAAAAGGTTTATTAGAACAACYGTTTTGATTGGACTTTAGTGCATATAATGCAACTGAAGCAGGTTTTAGATCRTGGCCCAGCAACTTGTGGCACAGTTTAACAAGGGTATAAAATAATCCAAACTGGCAGCAGGCAGCGGCCTGAAACCAGTGTGCTATAAGAGGACAGACGTTGACACATAAATGTCAACAGTAGTTTTGCTTCTCTGCTGAAAAAGTCGGGCATGATGAAAAAGCAGCAAAAAAACAACACACTGTCCATCAAAATAAATCTCTAATTATTTATCTTTTATTTAAGGCCATCTCAAAAAGTGTTTTGGAATTTTTTTGGTATTCAGGGACTTCACTTTTTACTCAATTATGCTCAGTCTGAAGTAAACAGAAATAAATCATAAGCCAATATGCATTTTGGATTATTTTGTTCCCATACTGGTTATATAATTGGTATTTGTGTTTTTCTATGTTAACAAACAAAAAAAGGCTTGATACAGAAATTATTACACAGACACACACAAACACACACCAATGAGGCAGCTACATGATCAGTGTAATCACAGCCCACAGATGAAGAATAAAAACAAACAACTCTCTTTGTTTGAGTGTACAAAATCAGCGATACGGAGTGGAGAAGCACGCCAGTTATGACCTTTTCAATACATTTCCCATCTATATTAACCTTGTAGGTATAACGGAGCCATGTGGGCGGGATGGACTGGCAGTGACTGTCCTTCAGGGACGAGTGCTGTGGGTGTGGTGTGTGTATGTGTGTGTGTGTGTGTGTGCAGAGGGGGGAGGCGTACAGCTGCTATTAGCTTCAGCAGTGAATGGATTCCATCAGTCGACTGGCAGGCTGAAGAAAGGAAACGGTGTGATTCATTTACTCCAGCTCCCACTCCCAGCTGAACAAGTCAAAACACACAGAGAATAGTTAGGGACTGTCAAAGCTCTGACTGCCCCATGTCAGGCCTGGTGGTGTGAGATTACGGTGTGAAACAAAAAAGAAAAAGAAAGAAAAAAGTGYTTCTAACAATATTTAACAAATTGTCCAGGATAAATGAAAGCTAAYTGAAAAGTAGATGGTTTAACCTGGAATGGACCAGTTTTGG